CTTTATTGTTTTCTTCTAATTTGTTTGCCCTTTCCTCTAGTTGTTTACAGCGTTCTTCCAATTTTCTTGTCTTTTCCTCTACATAAGCCTCTACCTTCTCCATGATGTTATTCATAAGGCTGTTTTCTTCTACTTCTTCCAATTTTTGATGTTCAGATCTAGATGTTGGAGGTGGGCTAGGTTCTGGTGATGCTGTATTGCTCTTTATTTTGTTGTATGTACTTCTGCCTTGACATCTGCCCATCTCCTTATGGTTTGTTCTTGGTCTTATCAGTGCACCTGGGTCAGACAGAGCTGACAGATTCAGGAAGTCTCTCTCTCTTGTCCAAATGGGAACTCTGGGGCAGGATGGAAGCTCTTATCAAGAGGGGGAACTCCAGGACAGGATGGGAGCTTTTTTCCAGACAGGAAGTCCGGGGCAGGATGGGTGCTCTTATCCAGAAGGGAAGTCCAGGGCAGGGTGGGCGCTCTTGTCCAGAAGGGAAGTCCAGGGCAGGATGGGAGCTGGGGGCCAGTCTCTAAGTCTCAGGAAGTGGCTAGGGTCTTGGGCAGATGTACATGGGGGCAGGGTGTGGAGATTGCAGGGTCTGCTGGGGGTCTTGGAGAAGGGGATCCTTCCCAGTGGGGCTAGAAGGTGACTTGCCTGGTGGCCAGAACCTGGTGCCAAGTTGTGCAGGTCTTCCCCAGAGTGGCTGATGCCAAGGGATGGGGTCCGGGCTGTGAAACAATTTATTAATCGTGTAAATCACAGATGTAACTTATATAAGCCTAAAATATAAAGCTCTCTACCCACCCAGGCTTTGGTTACATGCCACTGTTCCTAAGCAAGGCACCTATAGATAAAATGAATATATTGGCTATTGGTCACAGTAATAGTACAATGTAGGCAACTATAGATTTAAGCATATCTAAACTATCAATTGATGCAGAGTATATTAAAATATTAAAGGTAAAATATAGTACACCTATAGAATGTACATGTTGTAAATGGACATTGTAAAAGTTCCTCTGAAAAAATCAGTGAGTGGCTAGAGGCTGAAAGCGAAGGTTTTTGCCACCACAGTCACTTCAGAGTCAAAGTCATGTGTGATGTGTCACCTGTCCCTGAGCGTACACCTCAGTTTATATCTGGTTCATCACTTATCACTGATTCACCTGCTTCCAAAACCCAATGTGTGTTTTAGACTCAGTGTGTGAACAACTGACTCCCACATGTGCATTTTATGGTCTCTTTACTACCTTCAACCAAAGTCTTCAAACTCTTTATTTTCCTTAAGATCTATCCAGGACACTATCTATAGGACAATTGTTTCTATTCTGTCTCCAGTTACTTCCTAATCTTGTCCTTCTCCAGCTCCTACTTTGAAATTCATATAACAGCCATTTTATTTCAGCATGCTGTGACTGACACTGCTCTAAACATTTACACACTAGGCTTTCATTCTTGAGCAAGTTTAATAAAACTTATCCTGAAATTTACAGTCAGAGGGGGATTGTTGAGAATAAGAGTTTTAGTGTTAGAGGGAACAGGATAATTGGAGGTAAAAATAAAAATATAAAATAATCATTATTTTATGTTTTTAAATTCCCAAAGTATATAATGAATTAAAATAAAACAAAATTAAAAGAATGAACAACATAGGCAGTATATGGGACCCCATTAAATGAACACAAACTTATATTTTGGGCTTTCTAGAAGGAGGAAATAAAGGACAGCATAGAGAAAAACATATTTAATGAAGTTCAATGAAGATCCAGGTCATGGAAGATAAAGGTCTCTCAAATAAACTCAATGCAAAGCACCTCTCCAAGAGATAAAATTCTAGAAAGAAAATAAAACAGGATATAAAAGGGGCACTAAGTTACATGTAAGAGGATCCTGATAGAATGACAGCAATGTCTCAATAAGAATCTAACAGGTAAGAGATGACTGGGTAA